CAAGCAGCTTTGTTTTGCCTCTGGGACACCTCTTGGGCACCTCTTATGGCATCCACACTGGTTCAACTCCTCCGTGGAGGTTTTGGGATACGGATGGATACGGTGCAACAGATTCAACAAGCTCACAGGTTCGTGAACACATCGGATGCATCGAACAGTGTGGCAAAGTCCAGCCACGCTTCCTTAATTATCGGGGACTTCAATTCTAAGGTTGGCTGTGTCATTGCTGTTTGTGTGTCTTACATGTTCACAACGTTTTACCTCATGAGCATTTGCCTCACTCCGCTTGATGTCCCACCAGTCCGGATGCACCCCTGCTAGCTTTCGTCACCTACCCTCGGCCTCAAGTATAAGTATTCTGATTCTCTTCTCCTTTGTCACACAGACGCGGACGCAGGACCGTTTGACAATCTTGTTCCTGCGGTTCAACCGGTTCAATCGAAGGATTTGATTTCCCATCTTGAACTCCTAAGAGTAGATTTTGCTTGACATTCTTGCCTTTCTCAAGTCTTGGTGACCTTTAGAACGGTGAGGTTGAAGATGCTGCAGAGGAGGAGCGTTTGCGTCGCGTATGATTCTTGAATGTTCTTTTTCCAGCATCCACATGGATGGGTGACAGGCTGAGGAAAAGGAAGGTGGCGAAGGCCAACGCCTTTGGCTTGCGTCACTTCAGCCAGCCTCAACTTGCAGACGTTGATAGGCATCGCGCGTCCCAGGCCAGAATGCAGAGAATGATCCCGAGGAGCAGGAGGAAGAAGAAGCAGAGGACCAATGAGCACTTAAAAATGACTGGTGCGAAGCTGCTGTCAGCTGTGACTGTGACTCAGATTTCTTCGCCAGAGTTTCTTAGGTTACGGTAACAGCCACCCCCCAAGACATGCCCTTGAAGGACCCAGAAATACTGGCAGCACGTGCAGCCCATAGTAAAATTCAAGTCACTCTTTCCCTCATGCTACTAGGCCTCCCAGAATGTTACAAGACCTCTTCCCTACCCTAACGGGAATGCTGCATTTGTAAGTTTCATGGGGAATTTGAGAGGATTATTGCATGCTGCCAAGGTGCGGCTGAGGAAGCAGCTGCTGGAGCCGCAGCTGCTGCTGAAGCCCTCGAGATTGAAAAGCAGGAGCAGACAGAGAATGCACAATTGCTGTTGTGGCGGCAAATGATGGCACTGCTGTCACAGCGTTGGCATTTGCCTGACACGTGTTCAAAAATGGTTCGCTCATATTTGGACCATTTGCCAATGGCATGCAAAAGGATCGAGTGATATGACGATATGAACTCAAGACATGTTAGCAAAGTGGAGGGAGATGGGGTGAGCTGACAGGCACTTGAAGAAAAGAAGCAGGCAAGGCTTTGCTGCCGGAGCTGCCGTCCAATATATATATATATGTGTGTGTGTGTTTGTTTTTCATTTGACAGACTGAACACCTCCCAGGCTCACCAGAAAGAGAAGAGGGGCCTCTTGAAGAAGATCAGAGATATTGAGTCAATAGAGGCGGTGGAGAGAAATTTTGTGAGTGACAGGTGACAGGATGTGATGTTTAGTGACAGTGTCATCCGAGCTGCGAGCAAGCACACTTCAGCAACAATTTGTTGAGTCCTGTTTTATTCCTGTTGTGCAACAGACAGGCCACAATGCGGGAAAAGGGGCAAACGGTCGCTGATTTATTGCCAGAAAGGCAGCAGAAGGCGGAGAACTGGTGAAGAGATGCTTTCTCTTGCCAGCTACCCCTTGCGTGCACATGAGATATACATGAGTGGCGTGAGGTCGCAAGAAAAGCTGAATGGACCGGCGGTGTGACCATCTTAGATTTGCAGTTATTATACCCTGCGCAGGTCGCAATAGTTGAAGTCTTCTGTCGCAAGTTTGCATTCCACATCAAGTCTGTTTCCTTTCCTTTGCTTCAATTATACCCCTTCTGTAAGTCTGTAAGTACAATTTGTCTCGCAAAATTTGCACAATTGTGACAAAGCATATTTTGTGGCATCGTTCTTCTGCAAATGTTTCTCTCCGGTATGTTTTCCACTTTTGTGGTCCTGCACGGGTGCTAGTTTTGCTGCCTGCGTTGTTAGTGATCCCAGCGTTTTGGACCATTTTTGGAGATGGGAAGGGGGGCTAGGGGCAGGGGTGCAACCTGTCTCGCACACAACAGGAGAAACACCACATGGGCTTCAGAGAATGCGCGACCTACAGCAACAGACAGTTTGCGAGGGTTTGGTGGTTTTGTTGCGGCTTGCAGGGCACCTTCCCCTAACCGTCAATTGGAACGTAATTTTTTTGTTTTCTTTTTGTATCTTTTTGTAATGGACACAGTTCTAGACTCTAGACCCAGATTGTTGGAGGCAGTGTTTTTGGGGCTTTGCTAGATTCTCCAGAAGGTATGAGTGAAGCATGCTCGATTGCAGGTTTGCCGAAAGCTGAATATGGCTTTGCATGGCCAGGCTTTGAAGACCGGAGCGCAGGTCATCGACAGAGCTTGGGGCCACCTGAGGTCTTACCTTCCTAACAGCATCCATGCTACTGTAAGTGCGCTGCGGGGCTCAATCCACAAGTGATGAAGTATGTGTGGAGCCACCAATTTCGAAGGAACTGTGGCAACAATTTCCGGAAAGAAATGGGCCAGAAATGTCAGAAGAAATGCCAGTGACATGTTGGCTGAAAAGCCACGTGGGACGAAGCTCCAAGAGATTAAGCACGCCACTCCACTGTGATTGACTTTAACTGCCCTGCTATGATAACAATGCTAAAACGAACGTGTGCAACACGGTGGAAACGTGGAAGCGTGGTTCTGCCCGCCAATCTTACACATTGTCGTGGCACACGCTTGAAGCTGCAAGGTCCTTAACTACGAACTGTTGCAATGTAACTCAAGCCTGATTGTGTTTGGCCCATTCCATTTAGACCTGGGTGTCGAGCCGACAAAACGAAACCGTGTGCAGTGCCCAAACGCATGTCGCCCTTGCATACAACAGCTTGCGTCTTTGCTGCTGCAGCGAACTTTAGCCCTCTACAAAATGTGGTAAGCGGGACGCTGTGTTTGAGCGGAACCCAACGCATGCCACAGCAATGGACCAGCCTACACAGACAGAGCAATAGTTGGCAACAGGTTTGTGCAGACATGACCTGCAACCCTTTTCCATTAGATCCTTTTTGCAAAGGATGACAGCGCATTTCCGGCGAAATTTCCACCCCAAGGTAATAGTTACAGAGTATACAGATGTATACAGCTGTAGCATACAGTAATATTATATATATATATATCAGTTCAGGGTGGAAGCTCCTCCAATGGAATGACATTGGCAAGGAGAAATTATACAATGCACACATGACAGATGACCTGATGAACAAAAACATGTTCATTTGAGAACCACCGTATATAGGACAGAGGGAGAGTCTGTTTGTGTGTGTGAAAGAGTGGGGTCCTCCTTTTTTTTGTGTTTGGAGTCTAGAGTTGTTGATGGTTAAGGAGCTTATGCGACAGTTCATGAGGCAACCGCATAAAAGGATGTTTTCTTTCCGCTTGATGGCCGTGTCTATCCCCATCACTACCTTGAGGCGGTGGACAAGTTCCACAATGTTGAGTGTTTCAGGGGGTCCCGCTGCCTGTGGAGAGTGTCCAATGTCAAAAGTGCAGAAAACAGTAAGAGTTTGGGACCAATTGGGCCCCGCAGATCCCCGCAGCACTACAGAGCACATCCACCCATGTGTCTAACATAACTTGGCAAATGCCGAGAAACGCCCAAAACAATGCCTTAGACCGGTAGACAAGAGGAATGATACATCACGAAAGGAATATTTACCATACACATTCTGCAGAGCGTTCAGCATCATTGGGCGGCTTGTCATGGGTATGGACAATATTCAAGTCATGTCCTTCTCCACATAGCTGGGTGGCCTTCACATCCCAATTGCATGACATGTCATGACTGCAATAGCATGGCGGCATGGCCCCAGCAGCACCTTTCCGAACCATTCAACCATTCCGAACCCATTCAAACCCTGTCAATTGAATGTTTTGCCGGCCACCATTGGTGCCCAGGTGGCGGAATTGGACCGGACCATCGCAGAGGCTCGATCTGACAGGACCCAAAACCTGCTTATAAGGCTTATATACGTACTCCGACTTGGCCTAGGTGGAAAGGAAGCTGCGTGCCTTGCAACAGTGTGACGAGGAGGACGGCTAGTGTTAACCACTTGTCACATACACTTTTTCGGGTTTTCTTGAAAGTGTGAGTTGTAGAAACATGAGCAGCCAAGTTCAAGAACATGTGGCCCAAACAAAGTGCTAGAGTCTGAATTTTCCGAATGGGTGCCGTCAACTAAACCTAAGTAGGCAAAGAACCAAAAATATATCAAAATATATAAAGAGGAAGCTAGGGCCTAGGGGACTATATATAGCAGCCTTTTTGAAAAAAACGGCACACACACACAGACACTCATTCAACCGACCATTTTGTTTAGCTGGTTAGCTCGGGGTTGGGGAATGCGTGTCACAACTACCTCGCCTCCATTTGCATCCATGGCTTTTGTCCAATATGACGACCCCTTAATGGATTATTATACATTTGGGCTGCACTATACTATACAGCACTAAATATGGGCAAGGGCCTCACCTGTTGAGGTTGAGGTGAATTTTGTGTGCCAAAGCGAATATTGGCAAACAAGCGAACCGGCATAAAAGAGGCAGGCAGGTAGGCAATCCTCCAGATTGAATTTAGGAGCCCGTTTGCTTTGCTGTTTTTGTGGCGGGAATGTGGGTGAGAAAAGAGCGCAAGCTGTCTTTGGGCATTGTGTATGGCACATTGGGCAGATGACACAGGAGTCTAGAGCGAGCCTTTTTCCCCTTGACAATCATAAGCTCATGTACAAGCATAAGCGTAAGCATGGCCCCACAAGAGATCCAGGCGTTATAGATCTTTCAGGAGCCCCAAGAGCCCGAGGAACCTGCTCCGGCTGCTCCAGAAACAGAGGAGGCCAAGTTTGCCTCGGCATGCGACCTTGCGAGGGGTTTGTTGCACGTTGAAGGTTGAAGCTCCTCAAGATTCTGTTGTAGAGACCGTGGAAGAGAAGAAGGCCGAAAGCATGTGCATGGACTTCCATCACTTGCATGCAAAAAATAGACTTCACAACTTGTTTTTCTGTCGAAGTTAAACATCCATTGAATCGACGAGTTCGGATCTTGTGTTTCACTTAAACAAGATAACTGATACGGAAAGGTGCGGCTCTCCGTTGTGCTTTTGTGAGTCTGAGGATGAAGCCGAAGCCGTCGCGGAAGAAGAAGAAGAAGAAGCTGCGGCAGAATCAGCACCTGCTGAATCTGCGCAAGATGCTTCAGAAGCTTGGATTGACAAGGGCCGATGGGTCGTGCGAGGTATTTACGCAGAGCATTTGAGACTCCTCAATTATCTTGTATTGCTATTGCCTAAGGTTGGCGATCGGTCACCGGCAGAAGAAGACGAGGTACCTCAAGCTGCCACTGCCGCGCATGCTCCCCATTTTTACGACTAACCCACACTTTAGGACTTTAAGCAGAAGTTCAGAACATGAAAGGTGTCGACTTGTTTGAGAGTTGTAGCATTGCTACAGCATTTGTTTGAGTTTGCGAAGTAGTTTTACCATCCCCCTGCTTTCCGAAAAGACCTCTCACGGAGGCGGCACCAAAGAGTAAGCCCCGTGCTAAAGGCAAAGCTGCACCAAAGGCTTTGGAATGCTGCATTTCCTTTAGCTGCCTTCAATGAAGAGCTGTTGGGCAATTCAAGCTTGTCAGGCAAAGAAAAAGGCAAAGAAGACAGCAGACAAGAAAAGGAGTGATTCGGCACTGTCCACAGCATACTGAGCTGTTTTTCTTTGTTGGCCAGCCTGTTCATTTGCCTCCCAGTATATATGAGGCAGAAATCGATGCGCTTGCTCGGGGCATTGCGGACGATACGCAGGCCAGATATTTGTTAAAAACTAAGCTGTTGTACGGATCCCTTCATAGTGCATCATGTTGCACACTTGTGATTGGGTTGCGGCAAAGTTTGGTTCCCCCAGGCTGACAAGAAGAAAGGACTTTTGTCGCATAGAGCCCAGCTTGAAAGAATCAAGAGGCACATCATTTGGGCACAGCAGTGGACCACGTTTGCAGTAGGAGATCGGGCAATGACACAAGCATGTGCAAGCTTTTGCAGCTAGGTGGAAAGGAGCATTTAGAATCAGTACAGGGAGAGAGGCCCAAAAAGGTGAGAGAATGTAATGACGCTGAGGTTTTTTGGGCTTTGATAGCCCAACTCACGCTTTGAGGTCAGGGGGCACCAATATGATGATCAAACAACAGAAAATCGACAGAACCAGCAGCATGGATTCAGTTGGGGAAAAGGTCGTGCTGTGCCTTTGCAGGACCCCATCGCGAGATAGTTTCCTGTGGCCTCCTCAGAACCCATTGGCTGTTTCTCCTGGAAGTCAGCAAGCAAAAAATTGCGCAGCACAGAGCTTGGGATGTAAGACCTGAAATGCAAATTGTATAATCAATCTCCTTCACGTTTCACGTTTGGCCCTCGACAAAAGACAGTTCCCTCATTAGAGCACGCCTCAATACCTTAGCACCTGAGGTTTTTTAGCATCGTGCTTGGTTTCGAAGGAGTGACAGAGGCTGCATAAGTTTTCTACAGAGCACCCTCAAGTCCAACAAACCAGTGTTAAGCCGTTAAGCGTAGAAGGTTTGAAGCACGTGAGACATGTGGGGCTCGTGCTCTGACTGCAGTGTCCACCGAAATGGTGAGAGAGATCAGCAAAGATTGATTGTGAGATCTGCCGTTGTGGCAGCACTTCACGAGACGAGACTTGTTAGCACAAGTAGACAACGGCTAACAAGCAGCCCCAGTGCGAATTTATGAATTGTCCTTGAGTCATGTGGCCGCCTAACAAATGCTTGCCTCTTGAACTGGAGGGCTGCTTGCAGCCTTGGATTTTGCAAGGGTCTTGTCGCCTCAGCTCGACACGGCAAAGTAGACATAGAGCAAAGCTATCCACCCTGGCTGCTAAAACGGATCAAATGCAATGTCTATATGATATATACTATTCCAACAATTGACGTCGAGAATTGGATTTGAATTGGATTTAAGTAGGATGATAAGGTATTTAATTACAGTGTGGGCATGTGTGGCCACAGACATGTATATATTGGCAGAAGTGTTTTTTTGCAGTATATAAGCGATTAGATTGGTAAGGGGTCAGTAGAGCGACCTCTATCCGCAGGGGTCCGGAACGGGCAGGGAGGAATCGAACCCGATGCCACGTTTTTCCCGCAAAAAAATATTGACGGTCCCGCGATGAGAATTTAAACATGTGTAATCATTTGTCAACTTTTTGGCAGAGATTTTTGGTAGATGTTTTTGATATCTGCATCCTTAGGAAATGTGCCCAAGTATTTGGACTAATTTCCCAAATTTGTACAAAAATCCTGAGGGGTTGGCTATATGAAAGGTTGTTGGATTAGTTAGCTGTCCAGGGGATTGATCAATTATACAAAAAGGGAGGAAGCAGAATGTGGATAAATACATTTGAAGGATAGAAAGAACTCAACTACCTGTGGATTAATTGTGTGATTCTTGTGTTCGCACTGCTTGAATCTCAACCTGTTGCACGTTGTTTTGCGCGGGCTCAATGACAAGAAACTAGTCTGAGTCCTGTGAAATAGTAATAACTAGATATATATAGCTAGTATGAAAACATACAGTAGTGAATAGATTGTATCTAGCTAGAACCTTGATGAACGTAACTCCTGAAGAGATCTGAAATGAGAAGATAAGAAATAATAGAAATGATATGGCATGATTAGATCAAAATATATCCAGATATATATAATATGAATCCAAGGGTATGTGAGTGAAGAACCACCCTATGGCTGACTGCTCAAAATTTGCAGATTAATTAGGTGGAGGCCCTCCGGATTAAATAGGGGGACCATCCTTTTCATTTTGTCTTATGATCTTGTTGAAACTAAAACGCCTCTGATTTAAAAGATCTTAATTTCTTAATCCAGACCTAGAGCAACTCATGATTAAATAGTGGAGGTACCCCGGATTCATAAACATATTTAATCCAGGGTAGGGGTAGATGACCTCCCCCTAAGGTAGGAGGTATTTTTTTGAGAATGTGACGGCAGCATGATATTGCCCACCGCCCACCGGAGCCCACCAACAGGAACACGCCGGCCCCGCTCCGCTTACGCTCACGTTCGTCGACCTAGACCGGGGTCGGCGGATGTTAGGAAATCAGGAATGTTTAAGCGCTTTGACGTTTGGACACGTTTAATTTGGCCGGAAATTTGGATCTTGTTGACTTGGCGCCGTCCATTTCTTTGGCAAATGTCGATGCTTGGGACGGCTCGACGCGGTTCATGTTTTAGACAATGTCGGTGTTTTTCAAACGACCGTTAGTAGGACAATAGACATTGTGCCAAACGAGCAGTCTATGCAGACTTATGGCAATTACATCACCGTTGACATCTCCAGATGCATTGTTGTGCGGTAACAATGAAGACTGTCCGACAGTATCGTGTTGGAGCCAGCGCTTCGGACAATGTGTCAAGAGGGAAGATGTCGGATACTTGGGCATGTACAATGGCTTCGTTGAAGAAAGAGTTGCATGTGTGCGCCGCTGCAGGGTGCCACTGCTTTGTGTCCTTGGGAGTTTGGGGCGCTGGTGCCGCTGCTGCGTGCCCTTGGGAGCTTGGCCGCTGCTGAGTGCGCTTTGGGTGTTGGTGGTTGGTGCAGTTGGGGGGCGTGGCGTTTGGAATCTTCAAACCGGCTTAATCATCAGAACGTGGTACCGAATTTGTTGTTTTCACGAAAGCCAGCACCAGCTAGCTGGAGTTGTCCTTGCTTTAGCATGTGAGGGGCTGGAATCCTCGAGATCGCCGCATCACGTGAAAACTTCATATGTAGGGGGGACCTTTTGGGCACCTCTTATGGCATCCACTTTGGTTCAATTCCTCAACGCCTCTTGGCTGTTCGTATGTTTTTCACAACATTTTAATCTTATGAGTAAGGCCTTGTGAACCATCTTTCCAACAGCCTTGTGCCTATGAAGAAAATTTGCCTCATTCTATTTGATGACCTATTAATCTTTTGTTATTGGATGGCATTGTATGTTTCGACACGGATATACCCCTATTAATATTTATTATTTATCCTCGATTTAAAATGATTTTTAAAATTAAATTATTCGATTTGAAATAGATTTATTATCGATATAATAAATATATATATATATATTACAAATTTTAAATTAATAAATTATATATAATTTGAATATTATTATATATATATTTTGAAGGATATATTATAACTATATTAATAATTCATCAATATAGAATAAATTAGATATTATTTTTTTAAAAAAAATATAATCTTAATTAATTATATAAAATAAAAATATTTACGAATATATAAAGCAATTTATTGGATATTTTGGGTTGGATTTCTTTTTCCGCCCGCTATGTGTTTTTTTTTACAACCGTTTTCCGGTCGGGGGTGTGGCGAGGTTTACGGTTCCGTTCTTCCGCCCGCTAGGTTTTTGTTTCCCGCCTTTTTTATTCCGTGTAGGTTTTCGCTCGCGTAGGGTTCTGTTTAGACCGTTTTCCGGCTGCGAAGGGTTTTTTTTCTACCCGTTTGGGGCTTCTTTTCCGCTCGTTCCGTGCTTGTACTTTACCTCTGCACAATTCCATTCCGGCGTAGGGTTCTTTTTAGATCGTATTCCGGCTGCGAAGGGTTTCTTTTCCGCCCGTTCCGTAGGGTTCTTCTTAGACCGTTTTCCGGCTGCGCAGGATTTCTTTTCCGCCCGTGTGGGGCTTCTTTTCCGCCTATTCCGTGTTGGTATTTCACCTTTGCGCGGCTCCATTCCGTGCAGGTTTTCGCTCGCGCAGGGTTCTTTTTAGACCGTTTGCCGGCTTCCGCTTTTAGGCCCATTAATCATTTAGTCACTCTTTGAAAAGGCAGGTGGGACCTTTAAACCCACCCCACATTCTAGAACACATGTTCGATTTGTCCGATCATATGAATTGATCGGTTAGGCATGATATATATATATATATATACAGAGAGAGAGAGAGAGATTGGCCGTCGCACGTATTTGGCCCTCGCCACCAAGTGGATGCCTTTCTGGCTGCTCGGGAGATTGGCTAAGATGTAGGAAAAGTCGCCATTGCTCAGGCTCAGGATTCCATACACTCCATATTTGTAGTATCATAGATCTAAGTGATTGTTCCTGTTGGTACCAGGGGTATCTCTATATCAACGAATCAATCAACCGTGTAGTAAAACGCCGTTCAATATTGCAAATAAAATGGATCGTTGATTCCAAAAAGCACCCCAGGACTGGAGATTGTAACGCCACTCTGGATCCGTTGCTTTGTTTAATTCTACTCAACAACCCACGCGACCTGGGCGGCGGGACGTGATCGGCGGCGAGACCAGTCCCATGTCTTGACCTGGCTGGAGAGGCTTGGTTCAGAACCTGGCGCATCTTGAAAGCATTCTGACGCAGCTGTCGAATGCGGCGGCAAGGTCAAATGGGCCGGAGAGGGTTCCGAGCGCGGTAATGCCCGCGCCCAGTTCGCGCGTGCGCGCGCAGAATAAGTCCTTGACTTGTAGATTTCAGGCCCATTAATCATCTAACCATTCTTTGAGAAATCAGGCGGGACCTTCAAACCCACCCCACATTCCAGAACACATGTTCGATCCGTCCGATCATATGAATGGATCGGTCAGGCATATGATATATATATATAATTTCATCCCACATTCCAGAACATATATTCGATCCGTCCGATCATATGAATTGATCGGTCAGGCATGATATATATATATATAGAAAGAGAAAGAGAGAGAGAGAGAGAGAGATTGGCCGTCACACGTGTTTGGCCCTCGCCACCAAGTGGATGCCTCTCTGGGTGCTCGAAAGACCGTCATACGTGTTTGGCCCTCGCCACCAAGTGGATGCCTCACGCCACCAAGTGGATGCCTCTCTGGCTGCTCGGGAGACTGGCTAAGACGCAGGAAAAGTCGTCACTGCTCAGGCTCAGGACTCCAGTAGTACCATAGATCTAAGTCGTTGCTCCTGTTGGTACCAGGGGTATTTCTATGTCAACGAATAAACCAACCATGTAGTAAAAGGCCGTTCAATGCTGCAAGCAAGGTGGACGGTTGATTCCAAAAAGCGCCCCAGGACTGGAAATTGTAACGCCATTCTGGATCCGTGCTTTGTTTAATTCTATGCAC